TCTTCCTCTTCCTCTTCCTCTTCCTCTTCCTCTTCCTCTTCTTCTTCTTGCCACCCAACGTCATATGATTCAGCAGTTTACAACTAAAAATTGATATATAGTATATATAAAAAAGATATAAAAATTATAACAGACCGGAAGAGTAGAGTAATGAACACCAGATCAAAACAAACAAGCAAAAGAACAAAAGGGGGTTCCACATTCACCCCGTTCCCAAGGCAAGGGAGAACAAGTGTAATTTATCTTCCATCTGTACTTTTGCATAATCATAGCTAAATCCACCTACTTCTATGCTGAAAACTGCACTTACAACACTCTGTATCTATCTGTCTCTCTCTGTCTGTCAAATGTCAAGGCTGCCTGACTCCAGAACGACTCTGAGTAGCTTACAATTTAAAAAAGCCAACTTACAAAAACACAACCAATCAGATGAGCAAAATAGCAGGCAAAACCATAATGAATCAAAACAAGAAGGGGCTCCACAAACACCCTGTCCCCAAGGCCTGAGAGAACGACCAGGTCTTTAATGATTTCCCGTACAACCTAAGGGTGGGAGCCACATGAATCTCTGCAGGGAGCTCATTTTAGAGGGCAGGTGCTGCAATCCTGGGTCACACAAGGTGACATTTTTTGATAGACAGGACCCATAGGACACCCACCTTTCTTGATCACATCAGATGGCAGAGACGAATGGAGATAGGCGATCCCTCAGATAGCCAAACCCTATGCCTTCAAGGGCTTCCTAAGTGATAACCAGCACCTTGAACTGCACTCAGAAGCCAACTGGTATCCAGCACAGCTCGCAAAGCAGCACAATCACATGTGCGTAATGTGGCACCTCCATCACCCCCTGTCCTGCTGCATTCTGGACCAGCTGTAGCTGCTAGATAGTCTTCAAGGGCAGCCCCAAGTAGAACACATTACAAAAATCCAAACATGAGGTGATTAGGAAATGAGTGACTGTTTGAAGAGTGTGTGAATCAGTAGTTTGGAAATGTTTCAGCCAGTTAATTCTCTTTTAATACAGGTTCCATGACAGGACAGATAATTCATCTAATATCAGTTGAATCAGGCACACCTTCAGTGGCCATAGCATCCAAGCAAACATCAGTCATTTCAGTGATCAAAAAGCTGAAGCGTGCCTTGTGTGCGGAGAAGCTACAACGTGGGACCTCCTGCTTAAGCCTCAAACACAAACTTTTGCAGACACGGGTCACAGTTTCCTTGATTTTTAAATCAGCCTGAAAAGCTTGCAAGGGGCAGAATGGTTGCACGTGGTATCACTGAAGGTGCAGGAATGAAATCTCCTGACTTATTTCAGGACAGACAAACTAGGGTTGTTTAACCAAGGAGAAGCAACGGGCTTTTCTGCTTGTGGATTTCAGCAAAACTAATATGCACAAAATTCTATTGCCAAATGTGGATGACATGATTTGTGAGGTTTCAGACAAAAATCACAGGGTTACAGAGAGCTCATGGACTGGCCACTCCTGTTTTTACGGAAGGATTAAATTGTCTGGCTCTTACCCAAGACCATGCAAGCAATGGATGAGTTCAGTTGGCACACTAAGCCATGGTTTGTTTGAACTATTATTTGTTGAACAAGCCAGAGTGACCTGCTTGACACAGAGCACTAATCCATGAATGGCAATTTGCACACCAAACAGGCTGGTTTCACGCATTAACCTAAGTCAAAATGGAACAAGGCACATTTTGGCTTAACAACAAGCAAACCCTTCAGGTGTGAATTTCGGGGGGGGGGGAGATTTTAAACCTGCTGCATCAGGATCAGTCCCCTCCACCCCCAAGCTGGGAACAGGCACTGCCATATCATTTTATATAACAGGGCAAAGACGCGAGCATTTGTAAGCTTCCCGTGAAGCATAACACATGTTAACAAGCCTCTAGAATGCTGTAGCTTGGAGAGTCCTGTGTGTGCCTCATTTTGCCTTGATGACACAACTATTTTCAGAGTGTTGCGGATACCAATTGGCTTCTGGGTGAAGTTCAATTATCTTTCAAACCCTAGATGGCTCAGGACCTGGGTATCTTTGGGACTGCCTGTTCCCAGAGGCCTCTGTCCATCCAGTGAAATCTAGGTGGGAGGGGGGCTCCATATGAGTCTTTGGAAGGAAACCATGAGCTCTTTCTTCCCTGTGACTGATTGATTGATTGATTGATTGATTGATTGATTGATTGATTGATTGAAAAGACTTATATGGTCACCCATCTTATGAAACACAACTCTAGGTGGCTCACAACAACAATAAAAACAAAACAAAACAAAATACAGTAAAACCAAAAGCTCCTGAGTGTGGTTGGAAAGTAGAGGGGAAGCACTAGCAGTTGGGTGAGTGGAGCAGCATTCAAGATTAAGTGTAGCGTAGCAGGCAACTGATGGTGGAGCAGGATCAGGGGTGGGCTTCAGCAAACCAGCAGCAGACAAGCTGAAAGGGGCCATGGAGCCCAGCATCCTGACCACTCCAGCAGAGACTCTGAGAGCCTACAGCCAGCCAGCCAGTAGCTGGTGAAGCACCATCCTTCTCCCCCACAGAGAAACTGCCAAGTCAACCCTTCAGCAGCAGTTTAGACAGCAACGGAAGCTAACTGACTTCAAGGGGGATAAGTGGTGGCCAAAGACTTGATTATAGCTCAGGCAACAAGGAAAACAGAACTGTTCATAGGACTTTTAGGAATTGGATACACACCTAGGCATAGGCACAGATGTTAGGACAGATGTAGTATAGTATATATAAAGGTTTAGTGATGAGATGTGAGGTCTTCTTCCTGCAATGAGTGACTGCTAAGGGGGCTTTGGAGTGATATTCCTTGGCATGGTAAGATTGAATGATACTATTTTGTTATTGTACCGCATTATGATTGCACTGTTTTAATTTTTTGGCTTGGAGCATATGGGGCTTAGAGACATTTGCAAACAAAGGAGCGTGTAAGTCTAAGTAAATAAATGAAGTAAATATTATGGACTTACAACTTGTCAAAGCTTTTACTGTTTTGATGTAATCCCAAAATGAGCATTCCATTTTTTTCAGCCCTTTATGGTTCTGTAAAGAAGAAGTAAACTCTTTATAATTGTCTCCGCCAGCATCTGCGCGAAACATGGGCCAAGGTGAGACTCCTTCGATCCTTTTTCTTGAAAATTCATAAGGGCTATTTGGGTTGCTGCAGAAAAGAACAGGAACAGATTATAAATCACCAGCCTGTAGCACCAACTCATGAGAACACCCTGAAACTGCCAGGGTAAAAATGTACATATTTGTGTGTGTGTACTATGAGTTGGCCTAAGTTAGGGGCACAACTTCTTGATTAGGGCATGAGGAAATTCAATGTTCAAATATGAGACCAGCCATGCCAATTACAAGAAAAGAAAAATGGCTTAGACCAATTCTAATTCCAGAAGATAGGTCTGGATCCATTGTAGGAGAAATTCCATTATGTTCATGTCCTGTTTGAGCAACTCAGTGACCTCCAGAGGCTGTGACCCTTGGAGAATTTTTGTAACTGTGGTGGCAACACATTTTGAAGGTGTAAGGAAGCAGAAGGCTGTGTGAATGAGTTTCCAAAGTCACCTCACTGGCTTTTGTAGAATATAAGACTATATGAATGTTAATATGATAAAGCAAATAAATTCCTACGTTCTACCAGCTGTCAATGTATTTGGGGACGTCACTATCATTTTCTCCATCCTTGCAGTAATGCCTGCAATTGGGTTGTTATGATGTTCTTTTTCCAGTTGGGGAACAGAGAGGAATGCAGCTGATTCTCATGATGATGTCAAAGGCCATGGCTTTGATGGCTCATGGTCGAAGAGTCCCAAATTACAAGAGGACACAGAGATTCAGAGTGCTTCCTGATTGTATCAGCATGATCTAAATCAAGCACAGCCAACTTGTGTGACATTAGCTGAACCACAATAAAAGCCACAGTCAACTGTTCCCATTCATATATTGCTCATGACGTTTTAGTTTCAGGTCAAGTTAGGAATAGTACTGAGCCCCCAACTTTGTGATTTATTCAATGGATATACTCATTAGTTCCAAAAGGGATGTTAAGAAAATCCATTGTAAGTCAAGTAAAGGAACTATGGATTATGTAGGAACATCCATGATTTATTTATTTATTTAAAAGGTTTATATGACTGCCCATCTTAAACAACTCTCATTGTGATTAAGGCATGAATGACTGTGAACAAGGCCTCCTGGTCCAGGAAAGGGTGCACAAGAGGGATCTGTGCAAAGGCCCCCCTAGCCACAGCTACTACATGCTCATCAGGCAGGAGCCATGAGTCCAGGAGGACTCCCAAATTGTGCACCAGCTTGGTCTGGGGGAATGCAACCCCATTCAGAGTCAAAGATGACAAGTCACCAGATCCTGAGGGGTCAAAAACCCCAGGGCCACTTTGTCTTGGCAGGGTTGAGCCAAAGTTGGTTCATCCCCATCCAGATCCTTACAGCCTCCAGGCACTTGGAGAGTACCACAACAGCACTGCCTGCCCGGACAACAGTAGAGATGTTATAGCTAGATATCATCAACATAGTGATGATACCATACCCCATGCTGTTGGATGACTTAACCCAGTGGTCTCATGTAGATGTTAAAGAGGAGAGGGGAGAGACCCAAGCCCGGAGGCACCCTGCACTGCAGGTGCCTAGGGCTCGACCTCTCCTCACCCACCAACACCAACTGGAACCAGCCACGGAAAAAGGAGGAGAACCACCACAAAACGGTGCCTTCCCATTCCTCCTGCTGGCCCAGGTAACTGGCACTAGCGTTGCTGGCCACCCACCGAACCAACGAGGACTACCAAACATCTTCACACACCATCCATATCATCTTCAAAATTCCCAGCAAAGTGAGCCCACCAAACAGGCCATGTTGGAAAAAAAATGATGGTAAAATTGATCATAAGAAAGGCTTAATTGGAGGGATGGGTTTTAAATAATGAAGGGGTGGGGCTGCCTTGTCTGGGTTTTTCTTTCAGGGATATAATCCAACGATCTTGTGCTATACATGTATCTACTAGACCAGTGTTTCTCAACCTTGGCAGCTTTCAGATGGGTGGACTTCGACTCCCAGAATTCCCCAGCCAGCAACTTCCTTCTGGAATCGAAGTCTACCTATCTGAAAGCTGCCAAGGTTGAGAAACACTGCCCTAGAATGTATAAATGTAATAGTATGTCATAAATTCTTTTTTTCAGGGACCTACCTTGGAAGTGTCTCCAAAGTATTCATGTACCATAGGGATGCATTCAAAAGCAGAGTTCGGAGTCAGTATTACCTATCTGAAGCTCATCCTGCAACTCTCTGAGATCAAAACACATCAAAACTCTTAGCACCTACCCGGATTTTATAAAGTTAGACAGGTACTGCATGATGGCTAAGGAGAGCGTCTTCTCCTCCAGCATATATCGGTTTTTATACTGAGGATAAAAGGGCAGACCAAATGCAAGCTGAACATCAGGCACATATTCCAGGCTTGAGCTGAAAATAGAAAGGAGAAGAGTGAGCAAAGCCACGGGGGTTTTATTTGGTACTACACTCCCAAAAGAATGGGGAACACCACTTCCACAGATTTATTGAAAAACCACAGGTCATAAGGGAAGTGGTAGGAAAGGGGATTAACATGCTACAGAACCGTAACTCTGTACAGGGGAATAGGCCCATGGCTATTTTTGTAAAATGGGCAGTGAACTATGACCTGGGCCACCATTCATTGTACCGGGTCTCAAGAGCCCAAAGTCAGAGTGGCCAAGGTTGAGGAACACGGCTCTATTCCATGAAAGAACAGTAAAAGCCATGCCTGAGAAACTAACCAATTATATCAGAAACTCTGGATATATTTATCCAGATTTATCAGGATTTATCAGGAATGCTAAAAGAAAAAATAGCACGAATCTAACTACGACCATCTTCCATTCCGGATATTGTAAGCAGAGATAAATTGCATCTGTATAGGAATCGGTAAGATTCCTTTGAGTACCCCTCACTTGTAAGATACATACAGGCCTTACGGATTGAATCCTCTTTAAACACTAGGCTAATTTGTGGTGAACACTGAGCATTTCCTCAACCTATTTCCTTCTGTCCTTACTTTTTGTATCCTGACTTCCAAACATATTGAATTAGACAATATATCCCATGAAGGAGATTGTAGTCCTATGCTGTAATACCTGTAAAGAACTGTGAGGAAAATAAGTTTTCAGATGAATGGGATCATTTAAATCAAATTGCAACGGAAGGCATTTGCAATCGTCTTGGAGCTGGCTTAGCCTCTAGTTCACACCAGCCTGTTGTAAATCTTATCAGAACGTTCCCATGGCGACCCATGAGTCTGTGCTCCAGATGCCAATGAAGGAGTCTTCTTCCTGGCATTTGGCACCTGAAATGGCCCTCTCCCTTTGACCTCCTTTGTCCTACTAAGACAATTGTTTCTTTTGAAGTAGACAGCAGAGGGGGGGAAGTGACCTGAGATCTAATACTCAGGAATATGCATTCATGCATCATTTCTTCCCCCTTTTTGAAATGTATCAATATCAGCGCATCCCTTTGGTTTGCAGGGGTCTTTCTCACTATCCTTTTGGCGGGGTCCCCTCCAGGATGTATTCTTTAAATAATAAACACTGCAGTGAGCCTTGATTATTTGCTTTGGGTCCTGCGTTTTGGTTCTACTTATAATGAACAATAAAATAACAAATTTATAGCATACCATGATACATTTGTTAAGCTTAAAAAGAAAAATTACAAGACTCTGGATCAAATGAACACAATTATTTCTCTGGGGATGAACCCACAGATATTGGAGGTGGTCATATAATGCTAAATGAAGAAGTGATGCTACATGGCCTGGTTTGCACGTAGCACTGAACAATAAACCAGGATTTACAACTTACCACAGCTACATTTACACACATGCTGAGGTTTACTATATTTATGTCTGTAAACATTTGGAACTCTCACAAAATTCATTGCACAGTATACTTTTTTCATCTCTTACAGAGCAGGGATCTTAAAACTTTATTTCACCCTGAGAATTACCGTTCAGATCTCACGAAAACAGAATTTTTAGTGAATGTATCATTGCTGTGTATTGCATAAACTTTCTTCTCTTTTCCACAGAACATTTCCAGACCACATTGTCTAACACTGAATGATCTCATTAGAAGGCATTTTAGCTGCCCTTGTGGATAGTTTGGTTTTAGCTATTCAAAAAAAAAATTAAAAAAAAATTGGGAAGCAATGTAACTGGATCTAAATTGTCACTTCTCAAAAGCAGCAAGTCATACTTTTTGATTTATAACCATATTTTGGGCGTGTGTATGTGTGCGCATGCATGCATACATCGGGGAGGGGTATTTTCTGGAGAAACAAAAACAAAAGGCTATAATAACTCATTTCTAATTCAGGCATTACTAGAAATATCGCTAAAACTGAAAGTGGGGATCTGGCACACAATTCATCTTTTGACTAAAAATCCCCTGAGAATCTCTGCTTCTGCCTTTTTTTCAAGATCACAGATGTGCTAAGCTAAAATGAGGTGTGAGTGTCTGAAGTGGATTTAATCCTAGAAGCTATGCTAGAAAGTTGAGCAGCCTTTGAATCAGGGACGTCCACAGGGTATGGTCCAAAAAGTCAAGATGGCAGCCACAATGCTGTGTTCAAAGCTCCATCCATTTTTACGTGCATTGCAACGTATATAAAAAACAGATGGAGTTTCAGCTGCACCACCATGGCCACCATCTTAACTTTTTGGACCATACCCTGTGGACACCTCTGAGTTGAATTACAAGTAGTCCTCAATTTACAACCATTTGTTTAGTGACTGTTTGAAGTTATGACAGAACTGAAAAAAGTGACTTATGATGGTCCTCGCACTTATGACCATTGCAGTGTCCTGAGGTCACGTGATCATGATTCAAGCGCTTGGCAACCATCAGGCATTTATGATGGCTGCAGCGTCCCGGGGTCATGTGATCACCATTTGTGACCTTCCTAGCCAGCTATCGACAAGCAAGGTCAATGAGGAAGCTAGCAAAGAAGGTTGCAAGTCATGGTTACATGTTGTTGTTTAGTCGTTAAGTCGTGTCCGACTCTTCGTGACCCCATGAACCATATTGCGCCAGGCCTTCCG